CTGCCATTAAAAATAATTAATTTGCGTTTGGCAAATGAAAGCAAAAGTGATGAAAATTAATAAGAGAAACAACTTTCTATAGCGATGAGCGGATGATCTTCTTGGCATCAGCTGGGTATTAACTATATGTATACCCAAATATATAATATGTATAGTGGGTTGTGGTGTCACAACGATGACGAATTGAACTGAGGAGGACTGAGTCAGTGAGACGAGTTTACCTTCGAGTCTTTGGATGGACGGATTCCCGCCAGCACACTGATATAATGACATGACGCCCGGCACTAAACGATTCCTACTAACCGATCTCAACGGCCGCCCCCGCGATCTATGCGAACCGAATGCAATTTACCAGTAAATTAGTTCACACATGCAATGTGCAATGGCACTAAGAGTAGTGCCCGATAAAAGGGTAAAGAGCTGAAAAGAGCTTCGTCAACGATGGCTAAAGAAAACTGGTCTGAGCAGCATTAAACAACAATTACAACAATTGCATTTTGCCATTGCAAAGCAAAACAAAAATAATAAAAAACAAAAGACAACAAAAGAGAGGGGATCGTATCGTTGGTTGCGAGAGGCAAGAGTATGAGAAAATCAACTTTCCAAAGCCATTGAATGAATGACAACAAAAGTCCGCCTTTTACATAGAGAAAAAGTCGCACCGAAAATTGCTGCTGGCATTTAAATACAATAATGAACGTTTGTCACTACTAAAAATAATATACATATATTTTTATCCAATCAAAATCTTATATTTTTGTGTGCACTCGAAAGAAATTATAACTTGTGTATATGTAAACAGGTTTTTTGCAATGTATCTGAGGAATAACATTTGTATCTACTAAAGGAAAGGAAAAGTTATAGAAATATCCCTTTAATTCATAACTATTACTATTTACTCTGCATAAAAGTAGAGTTTTTCCAACTCATTCTCGTAAATAATGAGATAGTATTTCCCCTAACATCTTATCTACAGATTTCTCACAGAAATATCTCTTATGTTTATTTTTCTCCGTGTCTGTACATATTGTACATTTGATTATACAGCTGCTACTCTTCATTGGTCACATAGCACAGCATAGCATATGAAAATCAAACGATAAATTGACGCCGCGACACTTATATGTATTTTCGGTGCTGTGGTGGTTGTCCATGCAACAAATGTCCCACCTAACATAGAACCCACATATAACTCGGATAATTACATTTGACCTTTCGCGGCGGCTTAGCTTATTCAAATTCGTTTATTCAAATTCATTCACTAGTCACTGTTTTGGGTCCGAAAACGATTCACGTTTCGGTTGACTGTGTTGATGCATCACTGAGATCACCGAAATGTTGCTCGTAAGCGTTGTACTTTTTGGATTAACAATATATCCAGTATTTGTATTTACTTTAGCCAGTAATAAATCGCGTTAGCTGAACACGTCGACCTCGTTAACCGGTTCAAAATGCGTCCAACCGCTGGCACGACTTTTTGCTCGGCGATTCGGAAAGCGACTGAACAACTCAACAACTGAACGGCGTGCTGAGAGCGGCGAGCAAGCAACCTGGCATCAAGTGTTTGCGTTTTGTAGGGGGCGATGGCGGCGTTGTATTTTGATTTTTGTATTAGCGTTTGGACGCGAGCAGCCGCAAAAGAAATCAATTTTTGGCCAGCAAGAGGGCCCTTTATAATGGTTCGTTATTCATTCACCATTTACATGCACGCCATCCAAAACGGTAATTAGTTATCAGACATCTAGATTCTGTCACAACTTGAAGGCAACGTGTCAGCTTGACAAATGACGATGAAAGAGGGATGAAAGGACACACCAAGACCCATTATTATCATCCTTGCGCATCATTACGCACAATGAAATTAAAAAATAAAAAAAATTATTTTGGCCCATGAGGGGATCGAACCCGCGACCTTCGCGTTATTAGCACGACGCTCTAACCAACTGAGCTAATGGGCCTTGTTGGTTTCCAATGTCCAAAATCAAACGAATATTTCAGCTAGGCAAGGAATGTTTTCTTAAAGGATTTTATTATTATCTAATAAATTCTAAATAAAAAAAATATAATAAATTAAACAAACAAAAAATTAAAATAAAAAAGAACAAAAAAATTTGTCAGAAGTGGGATTCGAACCCACGCCCTCAGAGAGGACCAGAACGCTCATACACTTTCGTTCAGAAAGTAAGATTTTGCATCTTGAGTCTGGCGCCTTAGACCGCTCGGCCATCCTGACATATGCCGATTGACTGTCAGAAACGCAAGTTGTGTGCGCGTGTACAGCCAGTATAACACCATAGAACAGTTCTGTCGCTGGTATAACAATTTTTATTTCATTTAACAGAGCACTGTAAAATGACAATGTTAAATGGCAATGTTAGGTCTTTCCTTGGCTCTAGTACGCCTTTTGGCAAACATTGTCCACATGGCCCATTAGCTCAGCTGGTTAGAGCGTCGTGCTAATAACGCGAAGGTCGCGGGTTCGATCCCCTCATGGGCCAAAAAATAACTTTTTTTTCGTTTTTTATTTTTTCTATGCACTTTGGAAATTAAAAAGTTGACATAGGTTTGATGAGCGTATGTCCCGCAAAGTTATATATTAAACCCAGATAAGCTATGGCCAATAAGGCCATCGCCCAATTATGGAGTCCTGCTAATGTTATCTCATGTCGTGCAGGTTGGAAACGGACTCCAAGTGCGATGCGATGATGTCACGAGAAGCGGACACAAGGATGATCTAACGTGGTCTATTTCTTGCAAGGCAGCTAAGTGAAATGTCAATTCAATTTGCCATCAAGGATGATTGAATTACCCGTCCTCCGCCTCCAAACCCCACCACGACCGCAGCGCGTGTGGGGTATCTTAATTCGCCACGGCAATCAAGCTAAACGGTTTATTGGGCGATCTTATCGGCGCAACGAGTTGAAAATGCTTTTAGACAATACAACAATCCGGGGCAAATCCTAATTTATTACTTTTGTTAGTGAAGAAGGGTGGGACTTAGGTGCAGGGTATTTCAAGTGTCAGGATGGCCGAGCGGTCTAAGGCGCCAGACTCAAGATGTAAAATCTTACTTTCTGAACGAAAGTGTATGAGCGTTCTGGTCCTCTCTGAGGGCGTGGGTTCGAATCCCACTTCTGACAAATTTTTTTTTTTGTATATAATTAAGATAAGGGGTCGGAATGAATTAAAATAAGTTATTTTTTTTAGCTTAAACTTGAAAATAGACATTTTAAAATTATTTACTAGACTTTGTGTGTGGGTATAATATATCCAACTCTTTATAGATAATGAAATATCTCCAAATTTTTATTTTCTATTCTTTATTGTTAATAAATAATTGTAGGGTTTTATAATTTTAGTCAGAAGCTTATAACTTGGGAAGGAGCCTTTCTCGACCCTATAAATCATATATATTCTTGATCAGCCGAGTCAATCTAGCCATCTTTGAAAAAAATATATATATATACCTCACCAATATTTTGAAAATTTTATATGGGGTTACATCGTTAAAATTGTCAAAATTTAAAAATTATTATAATTTTCAAAAATGTAAAATGCAGTATGCAGATTTGTTAACCCAATAAAAACTGATATAAAAAATCCGAATTAAAATTAATGCCTTTTTGGCGGAGTTATGAGTTTTTGAACTTTGATTTGTCAGACAAAATTGTCATATAAAAATATAAATATAATAGATATTAAAAACTATTCAAAAAATCCGAATATTTTAAGCTTAGTTATGATTGAAATCAGATTCGATCTCATAATTCAATTGCAAACTGCAATGGTATATAAACTTCAGCTTTGAAATGTTAGTTTCCTTTCTTGTTGAACAAAAAAAAAACATTTGATCAAAGTAACCTTAAAAAAATAAATCTTATGTTAGTTCCTTATCATTAACATTCATTCATCAAAAGGCAGTTCCGAAACCACAGTTAAAATATTTTTCTACCAAATATTAAAGCACCATGTTTTCAAAAACGCTCTCAGGTTTAACCCTACATAACATGGTCGAGTCAGGAAAAGCTCAAGTAGCTGAAGCCAATAAGCCCAAGAAGCGTGTAAGATTCTATCCGGTGATAGAGTACATCTCCTACGACGAACTGGAGACGACATCCGTTGAGCTACTGCAACTTGGTGAGTAGAGAAGATATTGCTTCCATAACGTCCCTATTGATTGATGGACAATTTTACAGATGTGGCGCCTGGAGAAGAAGGCAGACGCTTGTCTTACAGAAAACAAGGTCAATATTTGGCAAAGGGGCAACCATAAAAACACACACCACGAACAGAAACCATCGGCGGAAGTTGTTAACTGAACGTGACACTTTTAACCTAATTGGAGAGTAAACTGCTGGCCATGTCCTGCGTTAAAACTTTGGCAGTTTAATGCATTTTCCATGTACTACTACTACTACCAACGCTATTATCCAGCCAATATCTACCTTTTTACCTCTTTACCTTGTTATACATAGTGGAATTTTTGCATTAAAAAAGAGCATCAACCCCTCTGCACCTGGTGACGACTCAATCGGCCTTCAATTCAGTACGAAACACGTAAGTGAGTTAGCAGTTTACAAAGACGATATGTATGAATGGGTTAACATTATTGGGGCGGAAGGAGTAATCTGCATTTGAAATATTTACAATTGGTAAGGCCCAATGCAGAGCGGAGAGAATGAAAGGAATATGGCCCTATTGAGACGTCAAAACACACTCGTGGTTTTGATAAGGCTACAAGCTCTGCAACTGACCTATGTCAAAGAGTTGGCGGGGCGGGCAAACAAATCAATAGCGCCGGCTGTGCAATTAAATGCAGTCATAACCCTGCCAGCACCTGAAGACACTTGCCGGATGATGTGGATGGTCGCTGGGCAATCAGCCATTGGTATCTCCTTGATATATGACCGCGTCATTTGACTCGGTTATCCGCTCGGGCAATGCCCAGTGCGACAATGCTAATCGCAGTTCTCCGACTATAAAAGGCCCTCGGTGGCCATTAGTTAGCCATCCAGAAACGTAGAGCGTTACACACAGAAATGTTCCTCCAGATTGTGACTACGTTAGCCCTGCTGCTTGCCATCGCAAATGGCGCAGCGATACCCTCAGGACTAGAGCAAAAGTCCACGCCGGATGGCAGGATAGTGGGTGGCACAGCGACATCAATTGAGGATCATCCATGGCAGGTTTCAGTGCAAAAGTCAGGAGGACACTCTTGCGGTGGCTCCATCATCAGCAACAACATCATTGTGACCGCCGCCCATTGCCTGCAGCCCCCAGTCACAGCTTCCATTCTCAAAATTAGAGCCGGGTCCAACAAGCGAACCTATGGCGGCGTTTTGATCGAAGTGGCTGCTTTCAAGGTGCACGAGGGTTACAACTCTGTGACAAAAGTCAACGACATTGGAGTGCTGCGCCTCAAGACGAAGCTGACCTTTGGTTCCACCATCAAGGCCATCACTATGGCCACTGCCACTCCTGCCCATGGTTCCGCAGCCAGCATTACTGGCTGGGGAAAAACCTCCCACGACGGCAGTTCCTCCTCGGAGCTGCTCTTTATCGACACCAAGATCGTGGGGCGCTCGCAGTGCAGCAGTTCCACCTACGGATATGGATCTTCCATACGGGAGACAATGATCTGTGCGGCGGCAGCCAATAAGGATGCCTGCCAGGGCGATTCCGGTGGTCCTCTAGTATCTGGAGGCCAACTCGTGGGCGTTGTCTCCTGGGGAGAACAATGCGCCCTTGCCAGGTATCCTGGTGTCTTTGCCAACGTGGCCGAGCTGCGCGATTGGGTGCTGCAGGCCCAGAAGACCGTCTAGCTTAAGTCAAGTGCAAAAGCAATAAAAAGCAACTCATAGTCGTAAATGCAGCTGGCATGGCTTTCGTTTCCTTTGCTACTTCCGCTCATTTGACTGCTCAGCAGCAGAAGCAGCAGCAGCAGCACTGACTTGTGAATCCATTCCCCAATGCCACATGTGCGGCAGCAGGACGACGTGCCCTTCCTGTGGGCCACGCCACTCGTACATGCAATCTGGGTCAGTCCGCAGGGGTTGCCTGGCTGACGGACGGGTGGGGCCTCAAAAGCAGGCGGGGATTTGGGACGGGACAATGGTGTAAGCCTGTTTCAGCGGCATTTACATACTCAACGCTCAGTACAGTCGTGTGACATATCTGTGACATGGCTGTAAAGGACTTACCAAATCAGACACACTCATTTAATTGTAGAATTTTGAATTACCAGGAATATATTCATGTCCCAGAGTTAAAGTAAAGTCTGTTTGGGTAAATTCCATTGAGTAAAGTAGATTACGATTCTAAACTTAAACTTTAGCCAACTATAAACCAATCAGCTACATTATCCTTTCGTTGCTTTGATGGAATTGATGGTTTTACAGCATTATTAAATCAACAGCTTTTGTTATCACCTAGATAATCACAACCCTCAAGACAAAGAGTCTAGTTAAAGTTAGACAATAAACCCTAACTACGTAATTTACACATCTGTTTCATTTCAAAACATGATAGAAACCACTATAAAATTAAGTTGGTAAACCAGACTTGACCAAAAATAATATTATTTAAAAGATGTAAACCATCTTTGGCCAAATGTTTAATCATTCTTGTAACAATAAAACCATATGAATTGTGCAAATAAATGGGCAAAAGAAACCTTCCAAACACATAGATTTAACTTTAGAAAACCTTTCCCCTTAAAGTCATATTCCTCTTATCTTGTTTAAGCCAAAAACTCTTCAAAATTCAACTAACAAATGTTTGTTTATTAAATCTAAATAAGTGTGGCCTTTAAACAAAAACGGAAAGTTTGTAAACAGAGCACTCAAATCTCCGGGAGGCATTGGGCACTGCCAACCGCACCCTCGCTCCACCAGTGTTCAGACTACGGGACGCCAATTGTATTGATCCGAAATGAATGAGACGAAGCGACATAGCGAGACGATGCCCAGGGTGATGAGATGGTGACTAGCCTACGGAATGCCTAGCATTCTTGGGCGTCCAGATGCTCAACACACTCACCTTCGTATTCCGCCCGCTTCCGGCGTAGAAAAGAGGCGGTCATTTGCAGGCCCCTTTGGGCCAGCACAGAAACTCGACTCCGGCCACTCTGTCGGGATAGAATGGAGCCCTTGGAATCCTTGCGGTTGCCCGACCTTCGGTTAGAGGAGAGTGTGCCAGCCACGGAGGTGGACACAGAGGCGGGTGGCTGCTGACCGGATGTTGGGGTCACTGGCGTATTGGGCGTGTCCGAGTCGATGAAGCCCAGGTTGCTGTTGGCACTGTTCAGGTGGATGCTGGATTGATCCGCGCGCCCGCAAAGCGTGACGCTGCCGCCACTATGGACACTTTGCGATACGGAGGCGGCCAATTGCTCATCCAGGCCATCTGAGACCCTGGGCGTGAGGTGCTCCAGGGACTCAAAGTCCCGATTGATGGCCGGTGGCATGGAGTGTCGGAACCAGGAGTCCTGGCGCTGTTGGGCCACACGTTGCTGCCGTCTCCTCTGGCTGGCCGAAGTGCCCGACAAATGCCTCAACCGGCTACCGGAATCGTCTGCAGATCCATTGTCCTGAGAACTACGCAGTTCCAGGCTCTGGCGCTGGTACGGTCCCGACATCTTCTCTTATGAGAGGGCGGGGGGTTCTTGGTTCCTGGGGATTCGCTCCCAAAAAGGCACTTGATCTGGACTCAGCAGGGGATGCAGGCACTCGAAAGGCACATGTGGCGGCTACTAACTCTCGTTTTCTAATCTCGATTCCTTCTCGAGCAGCGGTTATGTAAGGCGCTCGACCTCCAACTCGGCGGTGGGAGTGTGGCTTTTGGGTTCCATTACCGTCTCCGTTCCCATTTCCGCTACCAAATTCACATTCCCAATTCGTGGGCCTTGACTCTGACAGGTGTTGAGAACCGGAACAACTGGCGACGAACCGAACCTAAGGCGGACGACGCCGCCATTAGTGAAACGATTTTAAAGCTACTCCACCCGGCTGCGACGGAATATCAAAAATTCATTGCAATTCTGACATTTAGGGGCAATGGTAATGCTATTTGCTTGTCACGCATATGCAGCCGGAGACAGGAGGGCTTATGGCACGCTTTTGATGTCGCAGATTTCTATATTTATATATAAATAAATATATATTTTCAAGTGCCTTACTCCGGTGACAATCTATCAAACATAAATCCAATGAGCCAAAGCCCCATCAGAGTTACCAGTGACAATCTGAATAATTAAAGTGTCTTTTAAAGCGGAGGGCAGGAAACCTTCAGATTATCGAGCTGCATTCGCGACTGCAGCGCTAAATTGAGTATTTACACCTCTCCAATTACTACGCTTGTACGCCGTAATTGCAAAAAGGCTAAAGCTAAAGTGGGAAGAGGCTATTGGGCCGTACGACGAGTTTCGCCACTTTCAACGATTTCCCACGGTTAGTGGCCGGAGCCCGAAAAAAAACCAAAAAACAAACACGTCCAAACCGAACCGAAGTCAAAAGCCAACTGCGGATCCTTTACGAAATAAGGGACAACACAGCCGCCTGCTCGTCTTTCCTTCGGTCCACGAAAAGCCGAGCCCTCGACCGAAGTTTTGCTTCTAGCTGTAGCTATAGCTTGGTAAAGTGTAATGGAGGAAGCTCTGCTCCCCGAAAACTTTTCAAAAATATATGTGTCGCTGCTCAGGAGAATACACGCGCGTATGTGGGCCAGGCACTAAATAAACTACGAGATAAATTGGGTAGCTATGAGCAAGCGATTGCTTATATTTTACATTTGTCGGCCCACCGAAGTATGCAACATTGTTTGGCCTTTGCTGTCAGTTAACTCAAATTACGTTTGGGCGGGGCGAGTCATCGCGGCCCATTAGCTCAGTTGGTTAGAGCGTCGTGCTAATAACGCGAAGGTCGCGGGTTCGATCCCCTCATGGGCCAAGTCTAATTTTTTTCTAGGAACTATTTCCTTTAGTTTGACTTTAGAAACAGTGAGACAGCTAGGGAAACTAATCTTATCACTTTATTGGGGTCAGCCGAGATTCATTAACTCTTTGTTCTATTTTTGTCAGGGAATGTAAGTTTTTCGAAGGTGCTTTTAACTGATTTTTGAACGGGGTTTTACAGTGTATGCTCATAAGAATATGTAAATATTTAAGTTCTAAGCAATCCAATCAATTGGTTGTATGCAAATTTGTCTAAAGTTATAATATCTTTTTTACCCACACGTTTTTTATTATATTGTTAAATGTAATGTTGGTCTAAAAGAATCTAATAAAGTTATTTTGAAAAACTTTTATATATAATTTAACATAAAAGGGTTATAAGACAAGAACAGCCCTAGAGTTCCAGCCATGTGAACTAATGTGTGGACAACAACAACAATGTATAGGGACTTAAATAGTACGTTACTCACAAGTATTTAGCAGACCCGGTCCGGGGAACTCGCTGCTGCGGCGATACGAGAGCCGTAAGCGTGATGATATGGAGGGCATTGGCATAACTTCCAAGTTAACAGCAACTGGTGACCAAACATCCGAGACAAGTCGCAATGGGAAGAGACCAAGAAAGGGGCGGCCGCCGGCTTTTGTTTGGCTTCACTGCTTAGTGAACTTCCGTGGAAATCAGCTCATTTATGCCAGCAAACATAAGTACACTCACTACACTTTCTACGCACAACAATACACCTCCCACACAGAACTGCTGCCAAGTTGATTCTATTTAAGCGCAGTGAATAATTGCAAGAGTGTGCGGAATATTGATAAGGGAGTAAACAAAGCCGCGACTGTGGCGATAAGTGCGCTTACGCCCGAAATATGACCGTTTTGCTCTGTGTACACTAGGAACTTGCATTAATCACTCGAACTACAATGTTAGTAGACACAAGTCGCGGCTTGTGCTCTATATTTTCCTTTTATTTTGCGCTTTTTTTATTTGCAGCTGGCACGGTTGCATTCGCCTTGGCGCAGATCTGGCAACGGTGCGAGCTACAGCTGTTTTTTAGTTATCGAAAACCGATACCAGTTATCGAAATTCAAAGAAAAACCATTAAATTCAAATATAATTCTAACGCAATTGTTTATTCCATAAAACGACAGGGTACAAATGACTTATGTTCTAGGTCTTGTTCTCCAGGACACCGCACACTTTTACTTTTTACACATTGTACAAAGGGATGCTTTAATGGATGGCAAACGTGGTTAAACCATTTCATTTTCTTTTCTTTCATTTTTCAAACAATTATTTCAATGTCCGTTTCGATGATTAACTGAAATCAGTAATTTAGAGCGGCGGTTAAGTAATTAAGAAAGCTTTAGCTACATGCAAGTGATGGAAACAGGATCAATGGTTGGGTTATTCGACACATAAAACCAGAGTTTTGTACGCTAGAGAGTATTCATAAATTTTAAGGTACTACGAGGATGAATATATACACGTTCTAATATACATTTTATGTTATCATTCAATATGAATGAGTGCTCCAGGTTATAAGGTAGTGATCATTAGATACAGGTTGCCAAAACAAATGTGATATTTCGTTCTTTCGGGCTCAGTTAGATGCCCCAAACAGTCTTTTGAAAATGCATAGGTATTCGTGTTAATAACTTCGTTGTTTCCGTTCCATTCCACACAACAAGTAGATGTACGTAAATTATTATCAAGTTAGCAAACGAGACAACAAATTGCAATATGCTGACGAGAATAAACGAAAGTAACGATAATGATGGCAAAAATGTTTCAAAATGGCAAGAAATGGGTGGGTGGGTGGTTCGGATGTGGCCTCTCGGGTTAATGCTGATTAACTGGACGTCGGCGCGATCGTTATAACTCATTCTCCATGTTGGAGCGAACGTTTCGCAGCACGTTGTGCGTTTTTAGTATCTGATTCTTGATGTCTTTCTCGACTTGTGCTTTTGCTTTGTTAGCCAGACGCAACTTTTCGTAGGTGTCTTCGAATGCTCGCTTGGTGCGGATTAGTTTACGTCGCAATTCTGCGTTTTCAAGATCTACCTTGGCACAGTCGTGGGCCGTAACTGTGGCTGCGGAAGATGGTGATGCAATCAGGTTGGCTTTGCTGTCGGGTGAAGTCGAATCTGTAATAGAAAAATAGGATCCTAGGTAAATCTCCTAATCTGTATGATAACTTGACCAACACTTACGGTCTGACTTTATATTCTGGCTGACCACCGCCACTTGCTCACCGTTCCTTAGCTCCACAGTCTTCAACATAGCTCGCTGAGCATTGGACAGCTCCACGCTGGAGATTCTTCCGGCGTCGCTCTCTATGCCCAGATCGGGTGACGAGTTGTTGACCCTCTGGGCCAAGACTGCAGCCGTTGCCGGATTGGAGGCAGAGCAGGGCGCTTGTCCATGTCCAGCCGGGGGACCCATGGGCACTGCTACCTCCTCGGATGTGTAACCTGACTGCGAGACATCGCTGCTATTGGCACGCTTCTGCTGCTGCTGCAACTTTCGTTGCTCCTCCTTCAGCGCCTCTAGCTGCATCTTGAGTTCTTCGGAGCGCTTCTCCAACTGCAGCTTGTCGTTGTATGCCTTGGTGCGTTCCATAACCGCCTTGGAGGCCTGCAGGGTGCTTTCGTCCAGTTGCTTCTTCAGCGCCCGCGTGGCCAGCTCATTCTCGACAAGCGTTTGCTTCAGTTCTTTCTCGTTCTCCTGGTGATAGTCCAGGGAACGCTGCAGCTCCAGCAGTTGCTGGGCCTGCTCTTGATATGTGGTCAGTGCCACCCAGTCGCGCTCCAGAGTCTCCTTGTGCAGGCGCTCGTGCTCCTCCAGCTGCAGTAAAGCATCTTGCTTGTTCTGCTCCAGCTGCGACTGCAGTATTTTTACGGACTCGGCATGCTGCTGCTCCATCTCCTGGATTTGCTGCTGTGCCGCCTGCAGTTCCATCTCAGTTATCTGTGCGTCCGCAGTCAGAGTGCTCTGGGCCAATTTCAGCTGGTCAATCTGTTGGTTCTTGTGCTCCAGCAGGCGCTGCAGTTCCATCATCCGCTGCTCCTCGTGCGAGCCTATGGCCTGCAGATCAGCGGTCAGCGCCTCGTTGATGGCTCGCAGCTGCTCCAACTGCTGGCTAATCTCCAGGCACCGCAGCTGCTCCTGCTTGTAGCGATTGTCCAGCTCCACCAGCTGGCACTGCACATTCAGAACACGCTCGTCCTTCTGGGCAATCTGCTCTTCCAGCTGGGCAATGCGCTCGCTGTTGCGATTACGCTCCTGGCGCATGGAACAAGCTCTTCCTTCGCTCTCAGACTCGCTTGCCGGCTGCTCTGTCGGCGCTGCCAAACTATTGGAGGTTTCTTCGAGTCCTATGCGTGCCAGAGATACCTTGCGATCTGGCTCCGACCAAGCCTCCGACTCGCTCTGATTGTCCAGCTGTTGAGTGGGCAAAGGCAGTGAGCGACGCTCTTTGCGCGGCAGCTGCTGGCCGTCGTTGCTGCGCCGTTTCTCCAGCTCCCGTTTTAGAGCCTTGTTCTCCGCCTTAAGGTTCTCCATGGAGGGAGACATCGAACTGGCGGCATGGATCTGCTCATGGGAGTTGTAAGTCTTGTGGCTAACATCTCCCTCGGTGTACAAGATCTCGGAGAGATTGCATAGCTGCGCAAGACTCTGGTCGGCCAGCGAAGCACCTGTTATGTTGAGGGTCATGTTGAGACTCTTGGAGAGATCAAGACTGCGATCAACAGCCTTTCGCATGGCACGACGACGATCAGCTGCCAGCACGCCCAACACATCCTTGTGCTTCAGCAGAGAGTTAAGGAAGCCGGCCAGCTCTTCCAGTCGGTTGGTCAAAACACTGCAAACATCCATGCACTCGGAGCGCCATTTGTCTGCAGTCTCCACTTCCATTCGAGCTTGCTGGAGCTCCAAACGCAGTTGCCCGATCACAGCACAATTCTGCTGATCGTCCGCCAGGCGCTGGAACAACACGTCCACCTTGCGCTGCAGCAGCTTGTTACGCTCCAAGGCCCGCGAGTACTCCGCCTCGGTGAAGGATTGCTGTAGATCAGCCTCACCGCCAGACTCCTCACCAATTTGGGGCAGCGTCTTGGGTTGGTTTGCCAGCAGCTTGGTAAGGCGCTCCACCTCGCGATTTTTCTCCCACAGCTCCCTGTTGACCAAGTTCTGTAGGTTGGCCGTCTTTTTCTTGACCTCGGCCTGCAGCTGTTTGATTTTCTCCTCCTGCTCAGCGATCTTTTGTTCGTAGCGCACCTTGAGGCTGACTGAGATTTCAGGGGAGCAGGCCTCATTGTCACTCAGCGAGCGTCCGCCTGTCGTCGATGGTGAAGCTAAAGCCTTACCGCTGTCGTTCTTTACGAGAAAAAGGGTAAAGCTCATTAGTATTATGTTCCTGTCCCGAGTAAACTTGATGCTCACCTCCTTGTTGACCGACTTCTGCTCCTGCTGTTTGTCTTGGTTGAGCCGCCTAATCTCCTTCTCTTGACTGCTCAGCTTCTGCATCAACTTCTGGATGGTGCGACAAGCCTGCTCGTGTATGCGCTCACGCTCCTTTAGCTTCTCCTGGGCGTCCTGGAGCTCACACACCTTGTCAGCCAGTTGGGCACCCAGTTCCCGCTTGGCCTGCAAGTGAATCAGAATGAAGGCATTGAAAAGAATCAACACAAGATAGTTGGCGTTAGGATAGCTTTAATTAAGGGTTCTGGGTAACAATCATGGGGGACGATGGTGTGCAATCGCATTCAATTTAATGGTCCTTAACGAGAAATTTGACGATGACAACTCCCACGGAATGTGGATAACATCTGAAGCGATATCTAACAAGGATCAACGAAATCAAAACGAACGTGAGGAGGCAATATTCAGCAACTGCATTGGCTGATTCAACGGAACATGGCGCCGCCATCCTAATGGAATGAAAACAAAGTCGGGACAGGACCACTTGCGGGACACATAGAGCGGCACCCCGGTGTACAGCTGATAGACCTGAAGCCGCACTTCCTGCAGGGTCAGTGTGAGTAGTACGCTCCCCAGGGGCAGAGAAATTGCCGGAATCCAATCTGGCTTGGCACCGAGTAGTTGTAGAACGCAGTGCTGGGCGCAGCCACAGTTAGGAATGTGGCAGCAGGACTGCGACATACCTGAGGCCGACAGTTGCTGAGCTGTGGACGATGGCGGTTTAGGAGCTGATAAGGCTGGACTCGGTATGGCAAAGAGCGTCACCTGCGGCAGGTACATCCTTGGGCTCGAAGTCGGTTCTCGATTGCCGCATAAAATGCTGATCGATGAAAAGTTGGAGTGCAATGAGGAACTACTGCCGGAACGGTCAATAGAAGCTTTGTTACCAACCCCGTTGGTGATATCTATCCCTGCTGAACGAGAGTGCACCGGCTGGACAACGGCCACGCGGTCCATACGAAGCACCTGCTCCCTGGACTGCAGGTTGTCATTGAATAGGTGGTTCTCCTTCCGCATTATATCGAGCTCGGTATTCTGTTTGGTGACCAACTGCTCGAACCGCAGTACGCTGTCCAGCAGGCTGCTGCAGGTCTCTTCTTTTTGCTTGATGGAGCTCTTTTAAGAATATTTTAGAGTTTTTTTCTGTTTATTTGTTGTGGTAGAGTATGCACTCACTTCCAGTAGCTGAATGTCCTGGCGTTGTACCTCTATTTTCTCGAAAGCCTGCTTCAGTGAACCGTTCTTGCGTACTAGCTCCATTTCGGCGGCATCAACGACCCCCATCAGGCGCTCTTCCTCTGCTTGAGAGTGCTTCATCTTGGCCTTCAGCACCGCCAACTTTTTCTAGTGGGCGGTTCACTTCAAACCTTTAGCACCTCTCATACAAAAATACCCACATTGTCACAACCCTTAATCTAACCTATTGGGGATTATTTTTTATGGGCAATGACCAATACTTACATTTGCTGCGTCACTGGATTCGGTATTTGCTTCGAGGAGCTCCACCATCTCGGCATTCTTGATGGCCAGCTCCTCGATTTTGGCCTCGCAGGCTGTCAGAGATTCGGAGCGCTCGGCCAGAGCGAATTCAAGCTCGTTTTGGGTTTCCGCATTACGCTTGTTGGTCTCTAACAGTTCCTCCTCCAGTCTTTGCACTTCCATCTCCAGGCGCTTGAGCTTCTGGAAATCAATGTAGTCGCCTGATTGATTCGATGACGTGAACTATAAGAAAAAAAGGGATTTTATTAAGCTAAGTAGATAGTATTTATACATTATTGCTTCTAAAAAGCCTTACTTGACTGATTTCATATCTTTTTTAACTTACTTGGTATGCGCGTATCTGTTCCTGCAGTCCATCTATTATGGTCTGACTATCAAGATCCGCCTTGCGCTGCTTCTCCTCATGGTGCGAAATGGCCCTGGCAGCATCCTTCAACAGCTCCATCTTCTCATCGACTGTTTTGCGAAGCATCTCGACCTCAATCTTGGAGTCGATTAGCTGCTTATTTAAGGTATCTACCGAGTGATTGCCACGGGCGCCAGACTGATTCTCCTCCATGAAGTAGATGCGCAGCTTCAGGTTAAAGTTCTCTTTGCGCAACGAGGATATCTGCTCTTCCAGCTCGCGCACCGATCGGCCTTGGACCAACATGGGCGATTGACTGCCTCCCGGTGGTCGTGCCACATCAAAACTGGCATCTGTAAGTAGCGGAGATTATTATTTTTAAAATTAATCTATCTGGCATAAAGAATATCCACTAACTATGTAAATCGATAAGTCGCGAATCCCGCGACCCTGAGCCCATTGAATGATTGTGGCTCATTTTGGTCAACCGCGTAAAAAATATATAAACTTTTCGGAAAAATTTCTGTAGACTTTATTTGGGGTGTGGTGCCAAAATGATGTTGAGTTGTCTGAGACTTTTTCTGACTGAAGAAATATAAACAGGGGACATTTCCATCAAAACCTACTTTGATATCTACAAATTACTTGATTTCCAGTAGTTTACTTGGTTTTAAAAGATTACAAATCACTTTTTCTTAAAAAATATTTATAGAAAATAGTATCCATTACTTAACTCATCTTGTTTAGCTTTTATTACTTCCCTTAGAACATAGTTTACTGTTCAAATTCTAATGAGAAAACTTGTTTTTTAAAGACACAACTATGTTTAATCTTTTTCTATTCCCTGTACCATTATCATATTCTATTAATAGTTTAAGTAAACGCCCACTTACATGAGTTCTCCATGGTGACATCTTGAAAGGTTCCCGGAGTGGTGCTGCAAATATAAAGAGGAAATCTGTTAATTGAGCACAATGAAAGCAGTTTTCGTGGTGACCTCGCCGAACCACAACCAATAAAACAAGTCGAATATATAGAAACGGTAATTAAGATTTTAATTTTGCATACACAAGTTAACACATATTTTCGGCAGTGATGACATAAGAACGGTCTGAGACTATCACTAACAACCTCTGACCTCGTCCGAACATTCGATAGTGGTGGTATTGCCCGGCTGAAAGCACTCGTCAATGTCCTCCAGAGTTCCGTTGCAGAACTCTGGGTACACGGACCAGGCCGTCCAGCCCTGCTGCTTCTGGATTCGCCGGGCACATTGGACAGCCATTGTGATATCCTCGCCCAGCAGGCGCGTACAGTTCACATTGCACTCGTTAAAGGTGTGGTATTCCGTCTGATTTGGTGGCGCACACCAGTAACGATCGCTGATCTGGAAGAGTCCATAGTCCCGGGAACCGTCGTCATTGCGTTGGCCCACAACATGCGTATTGAAACGACTCTCGAACTGGGCAATGCATAGCCACAGAGGAAGTTCCGTTTTGGGTACATCAAGTATGTACAACTGGCCGGCGAGTTGGCAGGGCGTAAGACGAATGGCCAGCAGGGGAATCCCCGGGAAGAGGAACCATAGCATCGGCAGTAGTAGTACCCTCACTTTCCATCGTACCACCACCATTCCAAGTGAGTTCCAGTCACAAAATGCTGGAGAAACTCCGGCCATCAACAAGGTATCAACAGCGAGTGTTAAGCGATCAAGCGCCTAGAGCTTAATCGGATTCTAGCAAACCGGTTTACTTTATTTGGCCCGGCTTTATGACTTAAATTGGCAATAAATACTGGAAAATCGACGGACAATGCAACAAGTTTTCATGTTTTCACTGCACTTTGGCACTGGCTACGACTTACTTTCAGCTACCTACCTATTCATTAATGCCATATACGAATAGATTAAACTGGAAGTGATCCGAATTTCTATTTTAAACATTCTATAGGCTAATTAAGCAACTCATCTCATCTTTGTCTTGCTTATTATTAAGCAATAGGATGAAGCGTGAAAATGATTGATTTCCTTCTCTTCTTAATTTGAGAATTTTAAAGGCGAAAGATGTCTAATTAAAATTTTATTATAGTTTGCACACCTAGGTAAGAACTATATAATAGATAAAACATACATTCAAATTATAGCGAAATAATCAAAAATAATAATAATTCTCAAAATAACAAAACACAAAGAGACCGTGACAGGACAAGGACCTGCAATCTTTTGATATCCATTTAAGGTAACAATCAATGTTCAGAAATTTTAAAAAAGATCAATAGCAAATCAAAGTATTTGATTACAAGTTAAAATAATTATTTGTCAAGTTCACTTACTAATTTAAAAATTTAAAATACAATAGATAAATTCGTCGGCTATCTCTTAAAAAACCCTTTACAAAAAAATCTTTAGAAAACAAAGAAAGTTTCTAAAGTTTGTTTGATAATACGATCTGCACTGTACTGTTTTGTTCTTTCAATTATAGACACACCCAGTTGCCCAAATGGGCAGCAATAAAGCTCTTTTTTATGTATTTTTCTTTTTGCTTTTGGCAAATTGCTCTGTGAACTGAATTTTTTTTAGACAATGTCACACTCGAACGATCGCACTTCCAAAAACCACAAGTCGCAATGGATGAGATTACACTTCCGCGCCTTAAATCCGCCGTGCGACGGCTCTGGGAAGTGGGGGATGAGCAATTAGCCCCATCAGTATAGACTGGGTACAGTGGAGCCTGCTTTGGGAAGACATATGTACATATATACTTACCAGAACGTTCCGTTGCCCGTGTTCAGCGAATATCTCTTGAATGGAGTGCCACCACCAGCATCATTTGAGTTGTTCAGAGAGGTAGATCGAAATATACCCGCCATATTTTATGTTTCATTTAGCATTTATGCGCTCTTGCTCTCGGTCTTGCGTTTATATTCCTTTGGATTTGGATTATTTATATTATAGCGACTCTAAATTTGAAATTTAATTAGTTGTTTTTATGCGCCGCGGACACGTCACCACTGTTGGTTGTTGTTGTTGTTCTTGGCTTTATTCCCTAAATACTTTTGCGGCGCACGCCAGACTTCGTTACGTATCCGCCACGTTGTCGTCTTCCAAGGGGAGACAGCCATGAGTCATCGGCTGATGCTGCTGCCACTGCTGCTGGCTGACGACGTGCAATCAGGAGCAGTCATCCGAACAGCGGAAGAGGCTTCAAAGAGGCTTCTTGCTACTGGCTGCGTTCCTACAGATTGGATTCGCCCTGGTCTGGGATGGGATCGAACGGATGGCACATGTGGGCCACCATCCGTGCTGCACATCTCAAGAGGGGTCTACGTACACACGCCTCTTCTGGCCGCAATTTATTTTGGGAATTGAGCAAATTGCAAAAAGTCACCGTGAAAGAGCCACCGACCGCAATACGAGAGCTGCAGCCGTTCACCGGGACGTGAAAACTTTGCCAAACACTTTTACCAAGTGCTTTGTTTTGGCTTTTTCGGCGCCGTTACTATGGCGGTAATGAAAATCAATGGATTAAGTTCGGTTGGGGGGGAGGGAGTACGTCTAGCCAGCTGGACAGACAACAGGTGGCTCTTGGAAACGTGTTAGAACATGTGCCTCTTTATTTAACACCTGCACTCTATACCGTTGATGCGTTTTATGGCACTAGCGGCAGCAGGTAAGATGCAGTTAACACCCCATTTTCACCTCACTGCGAACCTGAACCTGTACCGGCGACTCTGTCTGTGCTCATCTACCTGCCCGCCTGGCGCGTCTCGAGTGGGTGTCAAACTATGGCCAATGACACACAAAGGCGCCTGCATTATTCAACAAGAAAGAACAATAACAATAAACAGAAAGTGCCGAGGAGTATATGTACTACATCACGAGTGATAAGAGAATGCAGGGGAGAAGTGAGATCAATATTGTAATAAAGGAACTACCTGGACTAGATGTAAACAAGGTTAAAGGTATTTAAATGTCCTTGTTATTTAAAAGTACTTTAATATTAAAAGAAATGTTAAGGATATTATAAATACAATCTGCTCTATACAATCTTTTGTTTTTGTTCTTCAAGATACATTTTAAATATGTATGTCTTAATCTGCCTATTTTATTTATAAAGATTGTTAAAATCAGGGTATTATAATTTTAGTCATAAGCTCGAAACGCTGTGAAGGACTAATTTGCGACCCCATAAATCATATATATTCTTGATCCGCATCAACAATCGAATCGATCTAGCTATGTCGGGCTAACATTTCTTTTTTTCAAAATTTTGAAAATTTGATAAGGGGTTAATATCGTTAAAATTGTTAAAATTTGATAAAAAAAATTTAATTGTTTAAAATTGTTAATTGATCAATGTACGATTTCTTATAAGATCCTTTAATTCAATTTTAAACTGCAATTAATACTTCCCGAAATTAGTTTTCTTACTTGTTGAAATAATCATTTTAAATGTTGCCCAAGAGGAACTAGAGATTATAGACTCTATACAAAACCTCAAAGACAAAAACAAACCGAAAAATTGTGCATTGAATGTTAAACTTTAACCTATTACGACTAACTAACTAGGCCACAAAAAGATTTGATACGTATAAATACATAAAATAACGTAGAGGACATACCTAAAAAATTTAATTATACATCAAATAAAACTTTCCGAACTGCATAAATTAATAAAAAACCTCAACTTTATGGCAATTATTTAATGTTATTATTATTTCTTATAAAGAAATTAAACCTGAAATGACGCCTCAAAAATTATGTTCACGTACGACCCTCCGCTACTGTACTTTACATAGAACAGAGGATGCTCTCTGTGAGGGTAGGGAATGTTGCAGTTTCGAAGGGCAGCTAAGAGGTGAACTATGCTCTTTACTTTACGATACCGTTTTTGTACACCATAGGGGTTAATTCCATGAGTCCGTGACCCCTGAATGCACGTGAGTGTGCATGTGTATATTTACCACACACACAGATAAAAAACATGTGATAAGGCGGCGACTTATGGGGAAATTAAGAATTCCAGCAACTGATGATGAAGGAGGGCGTTTGACTGTGGCATGAGGAGTCTCTCAATTCCACAAACAAATTAATTTCTATACTTTTCCGCGACTAAAATTAGCCGCAGCATCTCTGGCGACAAAAGCAATGGGAAATCAACGAGCAAGAACAACAACAACAACCACAATAGGGGGCACCACCACAGAGGCACGTAAATATATCCAAGTTTATGTATTACATTGTACATTCGAGCACACTTTTTACACTTCTTACATATTTTCTATTTCGTTTTCTTTTCACTTGAGAGCCTGCAGCTTCCCATACATCTTGTATCTGCTACGAGCGTTTAAATACAAATCAATCTATCACTTTAGTATCTTTGTAAACAATTGCAATCACATATGTATGTATGTAGATATATGTATGTACATAAGTGCGTATGTACAATTCACCGCTTGACCCGCTGATTATTCCTGCGTATTTACATATGATTGTGTGTTCGAGAGAAAGAGTGTGTGTGTGTGTATATATATATGGCACGAGTGATAGGCGAGAGGCAAGCAAAATAAATAAGCGAAAAATGCTCTTTTTATACGTCCAAATTAACCGAAAGCCAGAACATAACTGACTGAAACAGCGATGCGACCGATTAAGAGAGAGCGTGCCTGCGACTGCTGCTGCGGGCATGAGAGAGGGAAAAACCCCCAGAATCATCTGCTCGACAAGGAAAATGCGCTCAGCAGATGTTACGCATTTCCTACTGCGGAAAAACGATGCACAGAGAAAAATAATCTTTACGAAAGGTAGAGTGCAAAAGGTACAAAGTAGAGCAACATAATGACATAAGCAAAATGAATTAAATGTCTTATAGTGTCATTATGCTCATAGAGTTCTGGTTAAGATGTCACCATATATAGGGCCACAATATGTAGAAAAGTTATCCTTTATGAGAATGTTTGGTAACCGTTTCTGAAAGATTAAGATTATACGTTTACTCAAGATGGTGATAATGTTTCTACTTACATGCCTCTAAATGCTTCGAGGAATTGGACGCAGTTTGAATCAGTTTTTTTTATCAATTTTTCTATTAAACTCCAATACTTGGAAATTGCTCTGAGCTGGCAGAAGCTACGTCTTAAAATGCACTTTAAAACTCGAAAAGAATAAACTTGCACGAAATTATGCAATCTATAGCGATATTCAGATCAATAAAGAAGCTAAACACCACATTTCTCTTAAATTAATTAAATTAAATTAAATACGTCAACAACATTTTCCCCAGTGTATTATAGTGCTCGCTACTCTCTTAAATTTGTTTTGGGGTGGGTATCAAGTACTTATTTAGCTGTGAGCGTGAGCATGCCTCCCCCAATGAGGCGGAACGCTGCGGAGATCTCGGAAAGCTCCGGCGGAGAGCGCTCACAGCCGATCACAGTGGGCACCACAGCGATCTCATATGTTCATCATCTGCTGTGCAGGCAATACGTGTATTTGTTTATATATTTCAACTCCTATTGGTTATGGGTAATGTTTACGCTTTTGCTTTCTTTACTCACTCATCAATGCTCTTGGACAGAGCCTCCGCCAGCTTGCGGAGCACCTTGCGGTCAATTTCGGAGGCGCCGTGCTCCTCCAGGAAGCTGGTCACTGTCTCAATCAAGGTGATTTCACGCAAGGACGAGGCGCAGGTTCCGTTCGCGTCGCCGCAGTAATCCCTTACAGCCTGCTTAGACTGATCCATGGTTGGCTGCTACTTAATTACTCCGTCAACACAATTAATTTAACACTTTTACAAAGGACGCAAACAATTAGTTTTTTCTTTTTGGAAAAATAAGCGCGCTTGACAGCTGATTTCAGCGTCTATTTACAGTCTATCGAAATGCAGCCCTGTCACCCTCAGTGTTGCCAGATCGCGAGAACCAGAAGACGATGGCGATGTGGCAACGCCACTGCTTGTGCTACGAACCCCCAACTTGGACCGTTTACAAAAATTTACATTTCTCTGATAAGCAACTGGCACACAGCGGCCACAGATATAACGCCATGCTATAAACGCGCCACGGGCACGTTTTCGCCAGCCCGAAAAATATAAACCAGACCGAATCCAATCGCTGCACTGGGTGGGAACAGTGAGAGACACCGAAAGAAAAAAACAGTCATTGAGTGGAAAAGCTCCTCGTAAGTAGCAGCAACAATGTTTGCTACACTGAAAAACAAAATAAAAGAGGAAACGGGCGAGGATGTGGCCACTGCAGCCAATCAGCCCCATCAGCGCAACAATAACAACAATTACCGGCTACGTAGCCGCCGGGTCAGTGTCAATTCCAACTCTGCTGATGATGTGGGCGGTGGCGGTGGCTTCTACAGCGAGGTAAGCAAAAACCAGTCTATTTTTGTATATCCAGACAAGAGCGAAGAAGGTAAATAAACAGCTGTATTTTCTCACAGTCAGAGCAATTGTGCCAGCTGCGGAGCCAGTGTAATGAGCTCACCACCAAGGTGTCCACCATCACGCAGGGCATGCAACAGCTGCAGGAGGAGAAGTCGCGCGTAGACAAGACCAACGAGATCCTGCTGGAAAGCGTGCGTGTGGCTCAAACGCAAAAGGACATGTACTGCGAGGAGCAGGAGAAGATCCAGAATCTGCAGCAGATTGAGATCGACAAGCTGAAGAATCTCCTAAGCTTTCGCGAGCAGGAGTCCGTGGATCGGTTGGGTGCCATGCGCCAGCAAAGTCAACAGATCGAGTCTCTCACCGAAGAGCTGGAGCGCCTGCGGCCCATGGAGTCCATAGCAGAGGATCTGCGGGACGAGCTCGAGCAGCTACGACATTCCACTCAGCAGGAAAAGAACATGCTAACCACCACGCTGGCTGCGGTGCAGGAGGAGAATCGACATCTCAAGAAACGTATGAAAATTGTGGAAGAGTCGCGACTGGAATCGCTGGGCAAGTTAAACTCTGAGCAACAGGTTCAGGCCCTTATCCGGGAGCACAAGCTGCTGGAGCAGCACCTGGAGGAGGCGCACCTGCAGCTATCAGACATCAAGGGCTCGTGGAGTGGCCAAAATCTAGCGCTAGAAACCCAGGTCAGTAGGCTGTCCAAGCAAGTGGCCGAGGAAACGACCGAAAAACGTAAGGCTCTTAAATCCCGCGACGATGCCATCGAAAGCCGCAAGCAGGTTTCATTCGAACTCGAGAAGGCCAAAGACGAAATCAAGCAGAGAGACGATAAGGTTAGTATTTGCCATTCCCAGACATATCAAGCGAAACTTAGCCTCTATTAACGCTAGGTCAAGCTACTAGAGGAGGAAATCGACGAGCTGACCGTGTCTCTGAAGGAGTGCCGAGAGGAGAACGAGCAGCAGATCCTCTTTGAGCGCAACAAATCTGTGAGTATGCCACCTGATGATGACGATTTCCATTGGGACTTGTAACACTAATTAACAACAATGTTATGCAGTACTAACTAAACACTTACTAACAACTGAGTTCCTACCTCTTGGGGGAAATGCAATGCCTACACCTATTTTGTACTTTTGATTATAAATGTTTTCCTTTCTGTTATTAAACTGATTTTGAATCGTTGGTAAAACTGATTGGTAACTTCTTTCCTTGAACAATGCACGCCTCTAAATGTTTGCCTCCTCCCAAACCCGTTCCCAAATTCCGTTTGACGGAGACCTTGTAAACGTAAAAATATAAACCGAAATGTTCTCAGCAAAATCTGGAGGCAGAGGTAAAAGATCTCCAGACTCGTCTCACAACGGCCGATGACAGGTTCACCGAATACGCCTCGAATGCCGAGCAGGTGGCCCAAAAGCTGCGAACCCAGGCGACTGACAAGCAGGAGCAGCTGGACGAGACCATAATGCAGCTGGAAATCGAACGAGAGGAGAAAATGACTGCAATACTCCGAAATGCGGAAATCTCACAGAGCGAAGACATACTTAGGCAGCAGTTGCGCTTGGAGCGCAGTGAGGCCACCGATCTCCAGGACAGGAATAACCAACTCGAACGAGATATTGCCGAAACCCGACAAACGCTGCAGCAGGTCAGCAGTATAGCCCAGGATAGCGCTCAAAAGTTGGCCGACTTTGAGGGAATTCAACTGGAAATGGTCGAGAAAAACAAGGTGAGAAAAATGGTTTATCATTGTTAAAACTGTATTTAACAAATTCTATATATTTTAGACAATAAAAACCTTAAATCAGCGTCTGGTTGACCTCAAAAAAACTGTACAGAAGGAATTGCGAAGTGCTCAAATTTCGACGGAAAGTGATTCCCATCCCATAACGACTCCAGGCCAAAGACATACCATCACCAATCTAGAGACATTTCCCTCTGGCGGTGACAAGGGCAACTGCATCATAATGGACGAAGTTAATTTTCAATATTTGAAACATGTCATTGTAAAATTCTTGACCAGCCGCGAGGTGTGTTATTCCATGTTATTTATATTACAAAATATAAAATGTTTGTATATCCCGTCAGGTTGAAGCACGACATCTTGTCCGTGCCGTCTCCACGCTACTTCAACTGACTTCCGAGGAGGAGAAACTGCTGCACGACACTCTCAACTGGAAAATGAGTTGGTTCGGCGTGAAGCCAACCTGAAAATTAAACCAAAACCCCTTGCAATAAATCACATTTATATTTCTAGTCTGTAGTCAATTCATACTGTTTCGTGTAATATGTACATACCAATTACATATTCAAGGACACTGTGTTATTTTGTTTACCGACAAACATTCCATTTTGTTAAATAGTATTTATTTGTACCGTTGTGATTTTTATAAAAATAAAAGTACCATTTATGTAAGGACAATTTTATAATTTTCAGACAAGGTCAATAGTTTTTTATGGATATCCAGAAGAAAAGCCGTATATAAAAGCAACAAAAAGATTGCGCTTGTATATATCAAAATTAAAAATATTAAAAAATTTTATTTGTATCGTAAGTCAAGAAAATAACCTAATTTGGGAAGCCAGAGTTTGTATACCCTTTGTGTTTGGATCATGGGATAACTATGATCAGTAAGTATCTATGACCAGTAAGTATGCATGATCAGTTACTAAGTTTGAACACTAGTAAACAATGACTTGCAACTTTCGTAACACAACACATTTCTGAGACTTAGCTGGCAGAAGTCACTTCTTTCCGGGGATGATAGAACCAGCTAAGAATCATATGCACACATGTGCGAGACTTGTTTTGGAACAAATTTAAGCGCGAGCTATCAGTGAAAATATGGAGCTATTCTTCAATATAATTTTACTAGCATATAAGTCGGACCATGGCGAATCGGTGGACTATATATATCCATATATACACATAGCTACCATAGAACCGATCGGGTAATTTTAAGAAAACAATATTAAAACTTTTCCAGTTTTCAACAATTTTTATCAAATTTGATATACAGCCATTATATATTAATCTAGAAGTTCATGTACAACGTTATGAAAATCCGACTACTATATCATATAGCTGCCATATTGTTAACGATTATTAAAAATAGAGAGAAATGCAAAACTCTGAATATAAAACTGTAAATATAAAATGTATAGGTGAATGAAATGAAAGCAGGCATTACTTTGTTGTTTTTTTAACATAAATATATATAATTTATATTGTATTAATTCCTAGTGATCGAATTTCAATATGCAAGGGTATACAAACTTCAGCGTGCCGAAGTTAGCTTCCTTTCTTGTTATATGACAATTTATTTAAAAAATCGAAATTCCATAACTCAGTTAAAAAGGCCTTAATTTTATTTTGGAAACTTTTTCTATTAGTTTTTATTAGGTTAATAAATCTGAATACTCAATATAATATTAAAAATAAACATGTTTGACAATATTTGAAAATTTTAACGATGTAACGTTGTATATAAAATTTTCAAATTTTTGAAAAAAATAAAATTTAGTCGGACATAGCTAGATCGACTCAGCTGTTGCTGCTGATCAAGAATATATATGATTTATAGGGTCGGTAATAATCCCTTCACCGACTTACAAATATCTGACTAAAATTATAATACCATGCAGGGTAATAAATATTGCTTTTATTGAAACCCCCTCTTTTTTCTATTGAATATATAACAATTTAAGAAATATATATATTCAATATAGTTATAGTATCAACAAACCGATATTTCCAGCCTTCCCATTTTAAAAATGTCCCGCATAAGAAAGTCATTATTTAATTTTGTTAAAAATACTGCATTTTACATTAAAAAATATTGTTTTGTTGCATGTTTCGCTTTGTTTACAAGTTACGTCTTCTAAAATTAACTATAAATATGCGTTTACCTTCATTTAATTATTGCAAAAAACCTACTTCGTATGAATAACTAACTATTTGTTTGTATTATCTATGAATATATATATATGTAAATGATATAGGAGAATTTAAGAGTAAACAATAAGAAACACACACGCATATTACTGAGGCACTTTTTGGTGTTTATAACAATTAAGAAGACAGTTTTGTTAGTCGCAGATATATGTCAATATTGCTTTCGTAAAAGAATTAACTATTTACACGTTATAACTAAGTCTAGGGTTAAATGCTTTGAAACGAAGGATAATAATAATAAGGTTCTGTCTGATTTTGTCGAAAAATTTGGCACACGGAATTACAAGAGACTTATCATCGAATATTATGATATCATATAATAGTCCTAAGGTAATTGCTAATAATTGCATTTTGCTTACGAAAAAAAAGAAAGTAAACTGCAGTCTATTATGGTTGTACTGCCTTCTATTTCGGTGTATCTGGCAAAATGAAACTTGACGAGATCTCGGATATGTCCTTCAGGCAGGGACGCTCTCTCTAAGCTACGATTAAAATTAGTTAAAGCCTTAAATGACCAATTAAACACACGTACATATTTACAAATCATCAGTGGTAGAAATTAGATTGGGGAACATAATAGTAATAATAATAACTAATAGTAATAATAATAACTAATAGTAATAATAATAATAATAATTAAAAATAGCTAATAATAAAATTCATTAAAGGAAAAGCTCGGCATAAAATGATATGTTTCTTGCCCCACTTCACGCCTTACATGTAAATCTCAAAATGTTACGTGAAGCCGCGACTCGGTGACTGCACCGGTGACGGTGGCGGTGGAAGTGGGGAGAAGTATGTCGAGCTACGCGACGATGGCGATGGCGGGCACGAGGACTCCGGCACAATGCGAACATCGCTGTGGTAGTGCGAGCGCGGCGTTGGTGGCGGAGGATACGGCTCACTGTCGTAGCCGTACTGCAAGCAAGCGGCCGCCGAGCTGGAAGAGTGCTTCGTGGCGCCGCCGTTGCTATTATTGCTGTTTGATTTGCTGGTGTAATTCGAGTCGGATTCATCACAAATGTCCGTGGAGCAAGGCGTTGGCGGGGGCGGCTGATTGATGATTTTGTAGTGCCTGTACGGACGTCGGGACCTGGTCGCCGGTGATGGTGGAGGATTGATGGGATATGCCACCATGCTGCTACCGTTTGTCGTCGAACTAGAAGCTCCAGTGATGTGATTGCGATCGTACGAATTCATGCTGTTGCGCGAATTAAGCGTGGACATACGAACGGCATCGGCCACCGAGGCAATCTTTGAAACACGCTGCGATTTGCTTAGCGTCGATGGTGATAGGGGATCCGAGGCCTGGTCGTCCTTGGGCTCTGTGCGGCTCTTGCCAATCCTCGTACGGCAGAACTGCAGCAGGTAGACTATGGAGAAGATGGTTATCATGGTGGCACCAATCAAAATCATGAAGGCGCGCTTGTCCGATGCTGGAGCCATTCGACGCTGCATGCAAATGTCTGAAGATTCATCGGCTCCGTCGGCACAGTTCTCCCAGCCATCACAGAGCAGAGCGGCGGAGATACAGAGCTGGATAAAAGTTAAATATTTTATTAGTTTTCTGTTTATATTAGTAATAATATTCACAAACACTTACCTTATTGATGGGACACTGAAACTCCCCTGGCCTCTTGCAACAATCCGCCTCATCATGACCATTCGCACAATTGGTAGTGCCGTCGCACACCAACGACTTGTCAATGCACTCGCCAGACTGACAACTAAACTGATCCGCCCGGCAGGTAGGGCAACCCACCTCGTCCGACTTGTCGGGACAGTCCTTCTGCCCGTCACAGCGCCAGGAGGCGGGTATACAGTCCTTGTTCACGTCACTGATTCCCGAAACGGGAGCAGCGCACGTAAAGTGATCTGGACCGCAGGCTGGAAAAGCTCCGCAGTTCTCCTTGTCCTCCAGCAGCATAAGATGCTTGGGGCAGGAGCAGACATCGCGGGTTCGCGCCATTCCCTCTCCACTGGCGATGCAGATGTGCGAGCACTTGGTGCGGCTATGCAGGCAGGTGTGGTTCCGCAGAACCTTGGGATCCGGTGTCCAAACAGCCCGTATATCGGTGATCTGCGGCAGACGTTGCAGTTCGGCGGAGCGACGTTCACCGTTGACAGTGATGCGTTCTACACCGGTCTTGTCATCCAACCAATAGACAAAGCCACCGAGGGCAGCGATGTTAATCACCTGGGATATGTGCATGGATACCAGGGTTTTTCTGAGGAAAATTAATAATTATTTTGCTGATTTATCAAGGTTTAAACTTTTACAAAACTCACTTGTTCTTGCCGTTGATATCAATGGCATCTATCCGCTTTCCATGAGCATAGTATATCATATCCGACTGTTGATCTAGGGCCAGGGCCGTGACTCCTTCCAGCTTGTAGGCCAGCTCAACGCGCTCATTGCCATCAACGCGGGCGCGAATAATGGCCTGATGGCTGCCCACATCTGTCCAGAAGAGCAGACGCTTCATGGCATGCACGGCAATGTTGCGAGGCTTCTCTGAGTCTCCAGTATCGATAACGCCAACGGATTCACCCAGGAAGCTGAAGAATATAGAAACATAATTCAGTAAACAGTGGCATAAATTTAAGGGATTACCTTACCTCGTCACATTAATGCTGTTAGAGTGGGAGCAGGTCCAGAATAGCAGGCGTCCTATGATGTCGATGGCCAGGTCAAAGGGCTGTCCAGAGTTGGCCAGCAGGCTCACCTTGGTGCCATTTGCCAGGGATCTTTTGATGCTGTGACTTCTGCCCTCAATCTGGAATTATTTTCACGCAATTAGTAAAGAGTTCCCTCAGTCTAGGCTTATCTTCTCTTCCTGCTTACCCAGTAAATATAATGAGTGATGGGATCATAGTCCACAGCTCGTATATTCTTGCCGGAAACGGGCAACGGAATATTCGGGCAGTCGGTGGTGTTTGGTAGCAAACGCCCAAAACTGTTCCTCTGGCTAAAGATGATGTAGTTCTTGGGCGGAATGCAGGAGACGCCGTCCTTGGCCAGTTGGTAGTGCGTGGGACAGGCGCAGGTCATGCCACGCCTTCCCGGCGTCGCCAGGCACAGATGCGAACAACCGCCGTTGTTGACCTTGCAGGGATTCACGCCCGTCTGACGCTTGTCGTTGAACACCAGCAGCGATGTGATGTACGTCATGCCCGAGTGTACCAGGCTACGGTTCTGGCCCGTCGTCTTGTGCACCCGCTCAATGTCACCGGTGTTCCAGTCACTCCAGTAGACATAGTCCTGGTACAGAGACACCGCATACGGTTCATCCGTATCGCTGCCGACTAGGATCTGCCGCTTCTTGCCATCCCAGTCGGCGCTCTCGATCTTGGCTGGCCGCGACTGGGTGGCCCAGTACAGGCGTCGCGTCTCCTGGTCGAAGGTGAGA